ACCACTTTACAGTTTAACAAAAGTTCATTGCACTCAGGCTGGATGCATGTTCATTGGAGAAATATTATGCTTGTTCGCCTTCTTTATCGTACACAGCTACAGGAAGTATCGCTGGAACAAAGAACAACAACAGAACAGTGAGTGTTAACTTCTCTTTTCTGGATTTGTTCCCACCCCATTATCCACCTTAGTTGTTGTCGTGGTAATAGTAAGAGTACAGTCTTCACTAATTGAAGAACATCACATAAAGTCAATAGCTCATGGCAGACTAGTTCTCCTACGCTGCACAACTCGTCCATCTTGCACTGGACATTGCTTGAGCAATTGAGTCACTAAAACAAACTGCGTGAGCTGATATCCAATCTAGTGCGTTTCATTTCTTCTCCTCTCCAACGAGTGTGGTATCACCATATCAACAGGTAAGGAACAGTGGGCTAATCACAATGGGATTCTGTCTGGAGATCCGTGTAGGTGGCATTCATTGCGCCTCCACCCTCTGTGCTGACACAGCACCGAAAGAAAGTGCGGACCTGAATGCTAAACGCGGATCACGTGATCGCGGGAACTGACTATAAAGGCAGTTGGCACGATAATTTAGTATTCGGCCTAAAATGCTAGCAGGGCGCTATATAGTGGGAAATGGCGAAAAACGAAGTGAAACGGTCAAAAACCTGCGAAGAAAAGCCTTCTTCTTAATGACTCAAAAGCAATTTCGGACGAGTTTTCGTAGGCATCTTGCCAATAACCGCTACGGTAGATACGGCTGCACGTATGTACTCATATATCCATGCAGCACCGCGGCCGCTTCATACCAATCCCTTCGCTTCATATTTTACTTCGCAAATGAAGCAATACGAGCATCAGGTACGGTCGTCCATTTGTGGGCGGGCGGGCGCGGTGGGCGTTCGGGTCGGTATGTTGCAGCTTGATAGGGCGCTATAAGGGTACCTTTCTTGGAAAAGGCGCTACGCAGCGCCTACTCAGAAGCGCGGAATTCCGTCCTGCCAGGCGTATTAACCTTTCTCTTAATCTTATAGATTTATCGTGCCAACGGCCTTCAAGGCAGAACAACACAATTGGAAGGAATGCTTCAGTGCTTAGAAACAGAAGTTCCCTCACTTTGTCTCGTTGTACTCCCGAAACACTTCTATGCGACAAGCCCGTCTTGAGACCTTGATTACTGTATGAGAAGAAGTTTTCAGAAACAGTTTTAGATGGGACATCATTTAATATCAAGGGGGCAATCAATGAACGGACAGGATAGGTCTCCGCTCAGCCAGTGCTATAAGAACCGGCATTGGCTCTGTGGTGAAGAGCATGTAAGCCTATTCTGAGCGGCCAGCTTCACTCTGAAACTTAGTGGTCCATTTTACGAATTCAAACCAAATAAATCTAATTCGAAAAAGTAGAGTAGAACTCACGAGACATCCTATTATAATGAGGTGGTCTTACTTGTCACGGACTGTTTTGAAGTTTGCATAGTTGTAATTGAAGAGTTTGTTCTATCTTCCACAAGGAAAGGATAGCCTTTCGCGTAATTTCCGGAAGACGAACCAGTAATAACCCGTTTTAATCCTTTCGTCTTCTTACCGCCGACCGTCTGTGACATCGTCGCCACATGCATCTCGTATGTTGGACTAACTTTGACATCAGCTAGCAGTTACCAGATGCTGCGGGGTGAGTTCATTCCAACTCTATATTATCAAATGGTGACAAGCAAAGTGAACTTCTGTTGGTGTAGCTATCTAGTCACACTACAAGAGCCCGAAATGTACCCTTTCTGTAGAGGTGAACGGAAAAAATGGTCGCAGAGATGAATGCTTGCGCTAATAAATTCTTTACTACTTCATCGATGTTCTGAAGGCCGTTCCTCCGCCTTCCCCCCCGCCCAGAAACTCACACACTCCCAGACGAAAAAAAGACAGACACTTTTGTATCTCAGACCACTCCCAGGTTCGAGATACAAAAGTGTCTTTTTTTCGAGGCAGCGTGCTTGCGCTTACGTGCTTTGCACCCCGCCCCCCGCGTACCAGTGCCTGCAAATACTTTACTTGAGATGGAGTATTTTCGTTGTAAAGCTACGGGTTGATGGAATATCAACATACCAGTTGGATCGCCCGGCTGACGCCGAGCTCTCCTTCTCTTTAGCCCGGCTTCGCCGGGCTGCTTGGCTTCGCCAAGCGCACATCATAATAGAAAAACGGAATTCCTCAACTCATTGAGCTGTTAAAATCACGCGGTACTGATTGAATAGTAGATGAGCAAATTCTGTTTCCATTTACCTGCTTCCCAGCCAACCCACAATAGAGCTCTTATACTTATCCATTAACTTGAATTCACTCCCCGAAGTCGTATAATTGACGCCATATGCCAATATACGAGGCATGTTGTGCATTTTGTGTTGTGTTGTGCTTTGTGGCTAGTGGTTATTTGTCAGACTACCTTTATTATTCGCTTTTCATAAGTGATTAAAGTTGCAAAAGTAAAAAATGTCATTAAACACACAAAGTTGTTACATTATTACAGATTTTATATTATCCTAAAACTTCCTGTTTCACTGCGAGCAGATACACACACCTCCTCCCTGACATCTCTGCATGAGTTTATTGCATGAAGTGTAAAGGCTGGTCGGACGAACGACAACGGTGGTGCCTTTGAACTAACCTCCCACTGTCGGTGGGACGCGCTCCTTGGACTCGGTGACCCTTCCCTTCTGACACCTCTTATCGGATCTTATCAGCTGATATCACTTCCTGTCACCCACCAATAATGTTCCCGTCACAGCCTCTATATGATTGCTTGGAATCAATTTCCCACAGCTACTGGGAAGGTCGCTATGAATTTCGTGACAGACAGACAGACGCACACACACGGACATAGCGGATTATATATAGTAGGATGATGATGGAATATCAACAGTTCCTTGGGATATCACTGATGATTCATGTTGGATACTCCGAAATTCAGGATTCTTCACCATGTTACTGATCTCTTTTTTACAGGAGCGCTGATCGTCTGTACTGGACTGTTGTCCGTTGTGTGGCTCCGAGCCCGCATTAAAATCTTCCAGTGGGCTGGCATGTTGTTCCTGTGTTCTTGGCTTGGTCATTGTCGGAATCACGGACATATACTTTAGCGATGATAAACCTGGCGAACAATCGAATGTGGTCATAGGTAAGTACTCTACATAGGGGCTCTTCGTCTTGCTCATCGCTGTTCCCTGATCCTTGCTTCGCCGTTTTTTGACAGATATTAGTGTAACCATTTAGGTGACGTGCTCTGCGCTCTCTCACAGATTTTCGTTGCTTTCCAACTTGTAACTGAACAGAAATTCATGCGCCAATACGATGTAGACCCACTTCTTGCTGTAGGAATTGAGGGTAAGTGCTTGCAGAAAAAAAATTACTCTTCTAAAGTAGTACATTCGCATCTGAAGAATCATCTGCCAGCTGCTACCAAAACGCTGATTCGGCTCATGAAGCGTTAGTTTACAGAATGCAGGTTAGGTACTTCGTGGAAAAGGAGCGGGATTGTGTGGCTGTATGAGAAGGGAGATTTGAACGACGTCGGTTGTTGTCACCTGAAAGCGTGCTGTCTGCGATGTTTCACACGTGTCATCCCTGACAGGATGGGAAAACACATTATGAAGGACAATCATGTGAGCAGACAGGGTCTTGTAGAGGGTTCAGCACGACTGAACATATCTACACTGTCACATTGCTCACTGAAGTATCGCGGAAGTATAAAATGCCACTATGTCGTATGTTTATCGATGAGTATGAACAAAGCTCGTCATTCAAACAACGAACGTCCTGAAGAAAACCCTACTTCTTAAAGATGAACCCTGCGATTACTACACTGTTAATCGTGGCTCAATGAATGACTCTCTGACTCTCCAGGGAAGGAAAAGCAAAAAAAAAACATGGAATACATCCTAGGTAAGGACCTGGTGGCCCCTCTGGAGGAGTTCTCGGCACCTCCTGCTCACTAATCGTTTCTCCGCCTCATCCAGTGCTAATGCAATCCAGCACTAAAAACAACGAAAAACGCTGGGGAAATACTAAACTCAGAATAGAAAATAGCCTTTCAATTTTCGTGAGTGGAACAAGTAGTGTGGGGTCAGAAGTGCCACCTATATGGACCACAGCACCTCCATTACCTGCTGTGAAGCCGCGAAAAAGAGATGATTATAGAAATTAAGGACTTTTCATGGAACGCTTACACATTGCGTACCTTCATAGTGCGGAAAAAATGGGATTCTGTGGGGAGTGAATTTAATTCCAGCTGACTTCCCTGACGGTTTTGTGGAGCTACTCTTGATATCAGGACAATCGCAAACTGACCCAACAACAGCAGTGATGGATTGAATGATGGGTTCAAGAAGAAAACACCAACAGCAGGAAGGTGGGCTCATTCCATGCCTCCACGCCCCGGCTGATTGTGAGGACACCAACTGTACCTAAAATTTCGTTTCCAACCCTCTTACTCGTCATTCGTAATCATGGACGGTGTCTTCGATTGAGTCAGCCCTCCTCAAATTTGGGAAGTGGGTGCCACAAGTGCCAGTGTTGTTCGGGGACCTCTTATTTCAAATGAGCCCTCTCTTCGATAGTCAATCGATAAACTGGAGAGCTATCATTGGTTCAGTCCCCGCTCACGTATATGGTGACGTTCTAGGGGAGTGTAAGCGCTTCACTCGCCGCCTCAGCCCATATTCCCTCCTTTCGTACGATGCAGCTAGCAAGAGAGGCTTGCGATAAGATAAGACACTCATGGGCAGCAGCTTCCAGGAAAAAATAGTGAAAGTGACACCAAGAGAGGGAAACATGTGGTATCGCTAAACTAGATGAAACACCGTGAAACGAAAACTTGTTCAAAAACTCTGGTTCATAACTTCCCTCTAGTGCGATGAAAATACTAAAGGAGCACTCCTCATTCGTATGAGATCTGCATCCCTCAAGTGAAGAGTGCCTTTCTTACTGCGGTATGCTTTGATCCCTTCATGCTGATGGGTCGATCTACACTACTACAGTCCATATCCCAAAGATGGAGAGGCCGCGGCTAGTACTGCAATTGACCGTGGCGGCAGCTGCGCTCTTGGGATATTGCAGTTTCTGCATCCATGGTTTTGTCCAGCACAGGAGACAACGACACTTGTATCAAATGGAAATAATCCACCATCAATGCATCATACGCCACGTTCAAGTAAGAGTACGCAGCCACGTCCACCCCATCGGATAGAATGTGCAGTGTATAATTTCGCTTACAAGCGTCGTAAACAATAACAAGAACTGTCTGTAAGGTGACATGAAACGTTTCAGGTTGTTT